GAACAGATTATGACAAAACTTGACAGTAATGCTTGAAATAACCAGTATTACAAAGGAAAAAAAATCACATTAAGTTTATTCAACAATAAAGTCTTCTTAAGGTGTATTACCACCAAATCATAGTACGTCACATCCGGTTGCATACGAAAAAAGGGTCGCAAAAAAATATTCCCTTGAATTTGACAGTTGTATGAAATTAATCCTACATTTCATTGCAGTAAAAAAATTCTGGGTCATAAACATATATCTTGGGTGTTTGAAAGCACCATTATTTTTTTATTTGGTGTTTCTATAAAATATTTTGGAAACTTGAGGTTACATGGTTACTAAAGCTTGTACACCGATAGAAAAGAGGTGAAAATTTGATTGGTTAACTTCCAGTGATGGTTATTTTCTTATATGCAATGAAATGTTATGTGAAATTTGTCTATAGTACTGTACAGGATAAAACTTTACCCATGCCAAGTATTTTTTTTATTTGAAACAAAAATAAATTCTGCACAATTTTTTTGAAAAGTGCAAATTTAACAAAGACTAATAGGGGAAAATCAATGGTGGTATTACACCTAATATGGGAAGCTGCACATGCACCTTAGACCTTGTGAGTACTCTCGTTTGTTTAAATTTCATGCTATTTGAGTGACATATTACAAAAATGAAATATTCTGTGTGGATTGAGTCTTAAAAACACATTTTATGAGAAAATTGACTTGAAATAGGACTCTACCATGAATATTAGTAGATAGAGCAAGCCATACTCAGTGTTTTGGGGAGCTTTTTCTGACTTTTTCTCCTTATTTCTTGTATTCTGCTATAATAGAAAACTTTTTCCTAAGTAATTCTTTAATATATATATGGTTATAAGTAAATGAAATTATTTTTGAAGCAGTAACAACAAATTATTCACTCAAAGGGCAGCTTTTTATGTTCCTCTCTGGAACGCGGCGTAAATTTAAGTTTTACGCAAGGACTTATTGAAACCTCCTTGAAGTCAGTAAACTTTTATATGGATACCTCATTCAGCTTGATACTCCAATTACTCATTTATTATAACATTTCTATCATAAATGAGTGAAAGTTATCCCAAAAATTTTATTTATTGGCCTAAAAATTAGAAATTTTGAGGAAATGAGAGGTATGAATGGATCAGAAGAGACCTTATAATGAAAACAAAGAGGTCCATTAGTGGTATTTATCATTCTGAAGTCATCTTTTGTATCATAATTAACTGTTAGTAGGCAGATGAGACAAATAGTTGATCATTTATTGGTCCACACTTTATTCTATAATGATGCCGTTTGATATGGATTTTTCGAAGAAATTTTGCTCGAATCGCTGTAGATGTCGTTTTACATTTTACTAGATTTTTCTCAAACTATTGAACAGATTATGACAAAACTTGACAGTAATGCTTGAAATAACCAGTATTACAAAGGAAAAAAAATCACATTAAGTTTATTCAACAATAAAGTCTTCTTAAGGTGTATTACCACCAAATCATAGTACGTCACATCCGGTTGCATACGAAAAAAGGGTCGCAAAAAAATATTCCCTTGAATTTGACAGTTGTATGAAATTAATCCTACATTTCATTGCAGTAAAAAAATTCTGGGTCATAAACATATATCTTGGGTGTTTGAAAGCACCATTATTTTTTTATTTGGTGTTTCTATAAAATATTTTGGAAACTTGAGGTTACATGGTTACTAAAGCTTGTACACCGATAGAAAAGAGGTGAAAATTTGATTGGTTAACTTCCAGTGATGGTTATTTTCTTATATGCAATGAAATGTTATGTGAAATTTGTCTATAGTACTGTACAGGATAAAACTTTACCCATGCCAAGTATTTTTTTTATTTGAAACAAAAATAAATTCTGCACAATTTTTTTGAAAAGTGCAAATTTAACAAAGAATAATAGGGGAAAATCAATGGTGGTATTACACCTAATATGGGAAGCTGCACATGCACCTTAGACCTTGTGAGTACTCTCGTTTGTTTAAATTTCATGCTATTTGAGTGACATATTACAAAAATGAAATATTCTGTGTGGATTGAGTCTTAAAAACACATTTTATGAGAAAATTGACTTGAAATAGGACTCTACCATGAATATTAGTAGATAGAGCAAGCCATACTCAGTGTTTTGGGGAGCTTTTTCTGACTTTTTCTCCTTATTTCTTGTATTCTGCTATAATAGAAAACTTTTTCCTAAGTAATTCTTTAATATATATATGGTTATAAGTAAATGAAATTATTTTTGAAGCAGTAACAACAAATTATTCACTCAAAGGGCAGCTTTTTATGTTCCTCTCTGGAACGCGGCGTAAATTTAAGTTTTACGCAAGGACTTATTGAAACCTCCTTGAAGTCAGTAAACTTTTATATGGATACCTCATTCAGCTTGATACTCCAATTACTCATTTATTATAACATTTCTATCATAAATGAGTGAAAGTTATCCCAAAAATTTTATTTATTGGCCTAAAAATTAGAAATTTTGAGGAAATGAGAGGTATGAATGGATCAGAAGAGACCTTATAATGAAAACAAAGAGGTCCATTAGTAGTATTTATCATTCTGAAGTCATCTTTTGTATCATAATTAACTGTTGGTAGGCAGATGAGACAAATAGTTGATCATTTATTGGTCCACACTTTATTCTATAATGATGCTGTTTGATATGGATTTTTCGAAGAAATTTTTCTCGAATCGCTGTAGATGTCGTTTTACATTTTACTAGATTTTTCTCAAACTATTGAACAGATTATGACAAAACTTGACAGTAATGCTTGAAATAACCAGTATTACAAAGGAAAAAAAATCACATTAAGTTTATTTAACAATAAAGTCTTCTTAAGGTGTATTACCACCAAATCATAGTACGTCACATCCGGTTGCATACGAAAAAAGGGTCGCAAAAAAATATTCCCTTGAATTTGACAGTTGTATGAAATTAATCCTACATTTCATTGCAGTAAAAAAAATCTGGGTCATAAACATATATCTTGGGTGTTTGAAAGCACCATTATTTTTTTATTTGGTGTTTCTATAAAATATTTTGGAAACTTGAGGTTACATGGTTACTAAAGCTTGTACACCGATAGAAAAGAGGTGAAAATTTGATTGGTTAACTTCCAGTGATGGTTATTTTCTTATATGCAATGAAATGTTATGTGAAATTTGTCTATAGTACTGTACAGGATAAAACTTTACCCATGCCAAGTATTTTTTTTATTTGAAACAAAAATAAATTCTGCACAATTTTTTTGAAAAGTGCAAATTTAACAAAGACTAATAGGGGAAAATCAATGGTGGTATTACACCTAATATGGGAAGCTGCACATGCACCTTAGACCTTGTGAGTACTCTCGTTTGTTAAAATTTCATGCTATTTGAGTGACATATTACAAAAATGAAATATTCTGTGTGGATTGAGTCTTAAAAACACATGTTATGAGAAAATTGACTTGAAATAGGACTCTACCATGAATATTAGTAGATAGAGCAAGCCATACTCAGTGTTTTGGGGAGCTTTTTCTGACTTTTTCTCCTTATTTCTTGTATTCTGCTATAATAGAAAACTTTTTCCTAAGTAATTCTTTAATATATATATGGTTATAAGTAAATGAAATTATTTTTGAAGCAGTAACAACAAATTATTCACTCAAAGGGCAGCTTTTTATGTTCCTCTCTGGAACGCGGCGTAAATTTAAGTTTTACGCAAGGACTTATTGAAACCTCCTTGAAGTCAGTAAACTTTTATATGGATACCTCATTCAGCTTGATACTCCAATTACTCATTTATTATAACATTTCTATCATAAATGAGTGAAAGTTATCCCAAAAATTTTATTTATTGGCCTAAAAATTAGAAATTTTGAGGAAATGAGAGGTATGAATGGATCAGAAGAGACCTTATAATGAAAACAAAGAGGTCCATTAGTGGTATTTATCATTCTGAAGTCATCTTTTGTATCATAATTAACTGTTAGTAGGCAGATGAGACAAATAGTTGATCATTTATTGGTCCACACTTTATTCTATAATGATGCCGTTTGATATGGATTTTTCGAAGAAATTTTGCTCGAATCGCTGTAGATGTCGTTTTACATTTTACTAGATTTTTCTCAAACTATTGAACAGATTATGACAAAACTTGACAGTAATGCTTGAAATAACCAGTATTACAAAGGAAAAAAAATCACATTAAGTTTATTCAACAATAAAGTCTTCTTAAGGTGTATTACCACCAAATCATAGTACGTCACATCCGGTTGCATACGAAAAAAGGGTCGCAAAAAAATATTCCCTTGAATTTGACAGTTGTATGAAATTAATCCTACATTTCATTGCAGTACAAAAATTCTGGGTCATAAACATATATCTTTGGTGTTTGAAAGCACCATTATTTTTTTATTTGGTGTTTTTATAAAATATTTTGGAAACTTGAGGTTACATGGTTACTAAAGCTTGTACACAGATAGAAAAGAGGTGAAAATTTGATTGGTTAACTTCCAGTGATGGTTATTTTCTTATATGCAATGAAATGTTATGTGAAATTTTGTCTATAGTACTGGACAGGATAAAACTTCACTCATGCCAAGTATTTTTTTATTTTAAACAAAAATAAATTCTGCACAATTTTTGAAAAGTGCAAATTTAACAATGACTAATAGGGGAAAATCAATGGTGGTATTACACCTCAAGTAAAATACATAGTATTACACAATATTTAATACATTTAAAAAAAATGAAGTGATACCTTCAAAATGTAAAGGAAGCAATTCATAAATAATTTAGTTTGTTCATAGTCGGACAATCTCTTTTTCAGTCTGGCAAAAGCATATTTACATATTTTCAATTCACCCACGTATATATGCCCCGTTTTCATTCTTTCTTCTAGATAAATATCCATCATCCCGATAAGCTCCTATACTTCGTTATCACAAGAATAGCGACCGACAAAGACATTCAGACAGGAAGCTTTTGTTCAAAAATTATGTTCTATCGGAAAGTAAATTCAAAATAGCAATGTTATTTTTCTGCTTTGCTAAATCTTTCGGTGTTGCATTAGAATTGTTTGTTATGTCTTTCTCGGCTTTGTTATTAAGAAGCAATCGTGCAATTTCTACATGTCCGCGTGCACAAGCTGTGTGAAGTGGCGTCATTTTATCAATAGTCTGTACATTTACATTTGCTCCCTTTTTCAATAAAATTTCAACAATGTCTAAGTGGCCTTGATCTGATGCCATATATATAGCTGTGTATCCATTATTATCCGCCTTGGATATGTCTTCTTGATTATCTAATAAGAATTGAACGGCTTTCAATTGACCTTCTCTGCATGTTACATTCAAAACAGTTCCATCCCATCTGTTGCAGATATCAATGTCTGCTTCTTTGTCGAAAAGTTTTTTCATAATTTCTACATATCCGCCTCTGCTCGATATATAGAACGGAGATCGACCGTCTTTATCACAAAGGTCAACTTTAGCATCATTCTTAAGCAAAACATCAACAACTTCTTCGTGTCCCATGAAACAATCGATGAATAAAGGCGATCTTCCTTTTGCGTCACGTTCGTTTATATCTGCATGTTTTGCCTTATTGACGAGCATGTTAACAATATTAGCATGATCATTTTCACATGCAACGAATAAGGGAGACTTTTGTTTTTTGTCACATTTTGATATAATGTCTTCATTATGACTCATTAATATTTCTACAACTTTATAAAAACCTTTGTCGCATGCAATTAAAAGGGCTGTTCGTCCTTTATTGTCACAATGAGAAATGTTAGCCTTATTGTCAAGTAAGGTCTTGATTACCTTAATATGTTGAGATGCCCCGTTAATGGTTGCCGCAATGAGTGGCGTATATCCTCTAGTATCGCATTGTTCAATGTTCGCATTATGTTCCAATAAAATTGCCAGTATATCTGATCGTCCGTACGTGGAGGCAACAAACAAGGGTGATTGATCTAAATCATCTGCTATAGAAACATTTCATGCATATTTCGTCAAAAGTGTCTCAACAATGTCTCTATGGCCTGTTGCACAAGCTATGAAAAGTGGAGAGCGGCCTCCATTAGCACATTTTGAAACGTTCACGTCCAAATTTAATAAACATTTTACAACATTAGCATGTCCGGTATCACACGCAACATATAATGGAGAACGACCAGCGTCGTCACACATTGATATATATCCACCGTTTTTGGCCAATAGTTTCACTATTTTAGAATAACTAAATAAGGCAGCAAAAAATAAAGCTGACCTGTGCAGTTTATCTGTTGCCTAAACATCGCAATTCATATCTACTAATAACTGAACTATATCTGGAAACCCTTCCCATACTGATGCAATTATAGGCTGATTACACTTTTTTGCCTGCGCTTTCCATTTCAGATGTTCGTAGTCATCCACAACATCTTCAGAGTCTTTGTATTTTTCGTCTGCAAGGTTTTGTAAATTGGATGAAATATTTTTAAAATTACTTTCTGGCTTCTTACAATACTTGATAAATTTTTTTCTGTAAGGTTTAAAGGTTAATTGGGAGTTATGAAATGTGCTTAACATATCTCCATGTTTTAGATCCGTAAACAATCTGTCAAAATAAACAGGTTCATTTTTCTTATCAATACGAAATATTTTCTGATCTGTAATCGATGCAAATATGCATCTAGTACTTATAAAAGAAACTGATGCGTGCTGGATAAATGTGCTCAAGTAATGTTTGCTACATAGCAGGGCCATGATTTCCATTACCTTTTGATGCAATAAATGATACTTTTCACCAGTTTTATTAATATATATTGTATCTGGTTGTTCAAATTTCTCCTTAATATTTGCTTTCGTAGATTCACTTTTAAAGTCTTAATCAAAATCATCACAAACTTCTTCTATTGCTGTTTGGAGATCTTGCGGCAAAGCTTTGTTCTTGTTCAACCATTCTTTTTTGAAACAATTATCAGATAGTGTGATCAATGTCATAACACAAAATTCTAGACTATTCTTACAACGGATTTCTGTCAAATCATCTTCTATATACTTTAAGGGATCTTTAAACACTTTTTCAATGGTACCAATGTCCCTACCCCTAGATAACTTACAGAGAAACGGAACTCCGAACTCACCACGCTGCTGGAATTCATGAACATCTGATATTATCTGTCCCCCTATGTACACAGCTATAACATTTCTTATTTCATTTTCGTTCAATGGAAAACGACTTAAATTACAAAAAGATTTAAACTGAATATCTTTACCCGTAAAAAGATTTGTATAGACTTCTGTTTCGCAAGACATAAGTAGAATCATATTCCCCTTCTTGGCCTTAAGTTGTTTTAGTATTTCGTTAGTTTGTAATGACCAAGAGTTAGCCGGTTCATTGTTCATATCATCTACCACGAAAACCTGCTTTCTGTTAGGATGTAAATATTCTATTATATCTACAGGACTCGTGACTTTCGGAATGATATCATAGTTTTCTTCATTGAGTAATTTTAATGCTATGTGTCTTAGTATTGCAGTCTTTCCAAATCCAAAACCACCGAAAACAATAACATAATTGTTTGTTTTCAACAGATTTGCAGTATATTTTGCAGCTTCAGTCTCCACGAACACTTTATCATTTTCTTGCCAGTCTGTTAAATGCAAGTCAAAGTGATCTGAAAATGAATAGCATATCAGTGATATAATTAACGATAACATACCGATGTCCAAATTTCGTTAATTCATTGAGAACATACAAAACAAGGTAAAAAGCAATAACTGAGGGAATCGGATAAACTCCAAAAGGAGAGAGACCGGTGTGTCAACATGGTACAAATGGTCTTCAATTCAAGGTCTTTATGATAAACATTTCCGGAAACAAAAAGACAGCATTTAACAGTACATGACCCAGCAGGCACTCAACGTTGATTCAACGTTGAAACAAGGTTGTTTCTCAACGTTGAAACAATTTCAAATTTATGTTTGATTTTGAAAATTGGAATTAACGTTGAAATTTCAACGTTGAAGTTCCAACAACCATTCAACGTTGATTTAAGGTTGAATAATAGTTGAAAGTTTATTAATAAAATTTAGTATAAAGCTACATACACATTTATACCTGCTTTCCAATTTTGTGCTGTTGTTAGATGTAGGCAGGCAGCCTGGCTGTACATGTTTTTTCTAATGTTTTTTTTTTCTCACCAAGACAGATAAGTTAAATTGGAGACATCTAAATAAATACATCAATTGTAACTGATACAACGTTCCGTGCTTGTACAAAGTCAATAATCTAGACCACAAATGTCATATCTTAAGATCCTGTTGGCTTCTGTGTCTCTCATATTTAAATGTAAATTATTGAAAAATGTGTATTTATCTATTAAGAACAAGAAAAACTACAAGAAGGAATAGCTGAAATGATTGTGTGTGTCCAATTGTATTTCAAGATAACTAAACATAATTATCTAAATTGATATACAAGTGGACACCTACCATTTTTTGATATATTCTTACTTGTAGTTTTTCTTGTTGTGAATAGCTATAAAAATACAAATCATTCAATGAATTTGAATAAAAATTATGACATACACTTTGTTCCCACCACAGAAAACATCACCAAACAGAAAAAAAATGTTGAATAGTTCTAAACAAATAGTCCTTTAAATATTAAACGACTGACCAATGTTAAGCCCTTCTTAAAAGTAGTATATCCCAAGAAGAGTGAAGACATTATTAGATCCAAATTGTGTTCAGGATGATAGCAATACTTCTGAAAATAAGAAGATGCTGCATGACTGCTATTAAAGCAGACAACTCTTAAACCAATTGTCCTTGATTGTATATACGTGTAAATATATATATTACCCTCACACCTATAATTGGTATAAACAATTAAATGAATACAAATTTACTGAGGAACAATATCAAATTTAGTAATACTATGATATTTCTTTTGATACAAGATTTATTTTATAAATTTGTTTGCTATCTTTGTCTCTTTTTGTCCTTTTTGCATGTCAACTTTCTTCCACCACTTCGAGATCTTTCTGAGGCAGACTTCAAGTTCAAGCAGGAGAGATCTTTATCAGATATGTGTTTCTCAGTGACATCTTAATACTTTTGCAGTATATTTAACCTCTGGAAAAGATAAGATGATAATGAATATAAATTGTATGTCCTAAAAAGATACTCTAAATTTGAGCCACTTTCAATTTGTTTCTAGAAGCAATGAAAAATTAAACCATAACAACAAAACACATATTGTAATAAGGTAATCATTAATAAAAACAAATATATGCATTAATGTTTACTATTATATATATAATTAGTAGTTTTTGTTAATGAAGAAGCTTCTACTTGAGATTTGTAAGATTGCAGGTTTGACTCTGTAATTGATAACCATGAAAACACTTGACCCATGACGTTTTTTTATTGAAGACTGCACAAGTCTATTAACATGAAATACAGAGCTTTACTAGAATACTGTATATAAGACAAACACTGAAACATAATATGGATTGTAAGGTTAACAAAAATAGAATGAACAAGATTAAACTTAGAACACAAATGATATATACAGACAAAAAAACCTACCTTCAATGATTTTATAGACTGGAATTCCCAAAACTGAATTTTGATTTGGCTTCACTTGATGCATTTCAGCCATTGATTTGTTTGACAAGATTCTGTAAAATAAATAATACATGTTTACGATAATGGACTTCTAACATTCAGCGCAAGGTTCAATACACATACAGTAAGGAACATTACATGATAATGTTTTATGAAATGGAAATATATGAGTTTTAAATGATAGTATTTACTTTGTACATGTATGTTCTCAATCATGCTAAACGCATGTCCTTAATACTAAATTCAGCGTATTCTGTTTAGTATGTTATACATGTATGTGTAATATTATAGTCTACCCTTCACATAAATAATTTTCTTTGTCGAATACATATTGTTGAATTTGTGTTTGCCTAGCATGTGATAATTCTATTATTTTTCTTAGTTAACTAAAAGCTAAAAGTTTCCAATGCATGTAATAATGTCATGATATCAATGAACATTCTATAGTTATCCTCTCATAGCGTGAAATAATACTATTTTGTTGAATTATATAATGTTATTGTACAAGTAAAAATAGTATGATTTTTCCATCCCATGATCGTTCAATACTTTGTTGTCCAGTCGAAATTGATTGTTTTTTTCGTCAAAAAGTATGTAGTTTACCAAGCCGTAAAGTTAAACTAAACAAAGACACATATATTTAGTATACATATTTGAAAATTTATCAGATCACCGTAAATTATGTAAACCCTTGCGTATACCCCCCCCCCCTTTTTTTAATTGAAATCTTTAACCATGTTAATGTCTCAATGCAAATATGAAAATTAATATGCTTTCCACATTAAATGCTTTTAAAAATAGTATAATTGGAGAAAATTATATATGTCATACATGTATATAAAAACCGTGATGGCCACATAGAAACATCTACATACCATACTTGATAAACGGAAAGATTCTCCTCGACTTCGCTTTTGTTGTTCTATCTTTTTAAAAACAGGAAAGGTGTGGTTTAAAATATTGCGCATGGGCAATCTAACTTCCTGTTCAAATCCCGCGAAAATATGAATATTTAAAAAAAAATCACGATTTTTGTTAATAATCAACTATTTTAAATTTTTAACATGTTCAAAATATTCATTCATATTATGTGAAATGAAATTAATGCATTCTATTTCTTTTTACCTAGAAATTCAGTATCAAACAATTTACCTCCTCCCACATACACAAAATTTTTATTTGAGATCTCATTTTATCATGATATTTTTGTGAAAACCGAAACTATATCTTATTCTTTTCTTTATAAATATATACTGCTACGTTCATGCATGTATTGCCTTCAGTTAATGATTTTTTTTATATAGGCCTCATATAGGCCTACAATGAGTAAATAAGTTAACGTTTATTCACTGTTGAATCAGCGTTCCGATTTCAACGTTGAAATGATCAACGTTAATTCAACGTTGAGTATTTGTTAATTACTCAACGTTGAAAATGTAACGTTGTTTCAACGTTGAATACACGTTGATCACCATTTTAACCTCATTTCAACATTTATTCAACGTTGAGTGCCTGCTGGGGATGCTTTTTCGTTATTTCATGTTATGAATCACAATGTTATAATCAAATGAAAAATTCAAACCTGAAAGTTTAGCATTGTACTGACCAAACAATGAAGACACATACATGTATCATGCAACATACCCAATAATTATCAGATGTTAACAGATACTAGCCGTATGTTGTTTCGATATGGTAAACATTGCTTTCCAATAGATCTACATGAATGACTCCTATTGACAAGAACCGTCTGACATTTGAAAGCTCATATATTCATACATTTTATTATAAGCTCATAAAATAATTTTATACATACTATATATAAATACGACAAAGATAGATTAAATCAAACAGGACCATATTTCATTTGAAATGTACCTTACAAAATAAAACACTTTCTTATTACACCTTCATGTATTAATGGCTGCATAGGCTAACAATGTAATATGAATACAAATTTTCTTATGCCAGTCATTAATTAGCCAGAATCAAGCAAAACCATAGCATGTTTGCAAAATAAAATATCACACATATAGTTATTTTGTTTATGAATGAATTATTTTCCTAAAATGCACCAGGAGACTTTTATATCAGTTATGAGAACAATTGGTCAATTTCTTCTATATATGCTACGGGGAAAATATTTGTTAGGAATAAAGAAAAATGAGTTATATAATTTATATACATGAATATCAGGTTTGATGTCGGAAAAGACGTAATGCGTTCATACAAGCTTTCGAAACAAGATAAGATAAGCTTTATAGTTTCATGTAATTTAATTTCAAAAATTGAGCAAACATTTGTTTTGTTTCCATTTTAAAAGTCCATGTTTGTGAGTATACGCAATATAAAGATAATGCTATCAGAGTTTGGCAATACTCTTACTTATTCACAGTTATTTCTGACACACAGTTCTTGCTCAGACCCCTTTATGAAACGTGCGTTATTTAGATCTGACTGGGAATTTAACACATTTTAGGCAAACAAACTTTTAATTAGTACACGGTTTATATATATATTAAGTTTCATTATCTTCGCTTCATTTCCTTCAAAGACCTATTTACCTCTATTTATGCATACAGGCAAATTAAAACGGGGTTGAAATGTCTTCATTTAGAGAAAGACTGATTACAGGAATTCATTCTGTATAATCGTAGCAAAGTGCACATAACACTACATAAGAATGTATCGTTTTTCGTCGTATTGATATATTAAGTAACATTCAGGTATCGGGTGTATTTAAGGAGCATGATTTTTAAGAGAGTATATACCACTCAAAATGTTCTTATTAGTTCTGTCTTTATCCTTATAAATAGCTTCATATTTTTTATATGGATCTTCATTGCTCTATTTCTATACTTATGCATCTCAAATGAATAGCATTGCGCGATTTGAACCTGTATAATTATAAAATTTCAAAGATGACGCATGTTCATCATTTACAACAGTTTTCATCCTACTAAGATGCTAAAACTGAAGCACGCTTGTATAATTCGAGCATTTTAAGTTTTAAGAATACTTAACCTGAGTCAACTTAGAATTTCAGGGATTCAAAAGTGCCAAAGATATTCAATTTGAAAGTGTTTTCTTAGATTTCAATTTTACAGCTTTACCCGAGAAACTCGACTCTAAATTTACGACAAAAGGGACGATTTTTCGTTCCCTATTGTTAATTTTCCTTTTTTTGACGGAGATGTTGCCTACAAAGCCCGTACATTTGGAAACTATCCTGCTAAACTTATCGATCCTTAAAATGAACTTCTAAAAGGTTATCAATTCAACACTGTAATTAAATATTTGAATATTGTTTTATTGGTATTATTATTAATTTTGTTATCAGTAAAATAAAATCAAACTAAACATTTATTTTTATTTACAAGCTCTACAATCTGTCGATACCTGTATCTTGGCATTGCATAAGTTTATGTTTTTCTCTGACTGTTTATGACGTCTTTACACTTACTCCATTGAATGTTTAATGTGTTCTGATTGATATATTAGTCTTAGAGTACTCCCAGATCTGTAATTAGTGTCTTTTTTGTTGTGGTGATGTATAAGTACCCACCCACGTCCTCTCTGTGTTTTTGTTACATGTATTTCTATTTGTATTCATCTGATGAGTTAAGCCTTTTTCGACTACTTTTACATACAGGAACTTCGTAGGAAGAATGAACAAAAATTAGCAGTATCCTTTAACTTTACTTTCCGCTATATAGATGATGTTCTCTCACTAAAAATTTCAAAATTTGGTGACTATGTTGAACGCATCTATCCCATCGAACTTGAAATAAAGGATACAACAGATACAGTTAAGTCTGCCTCATATCTTGATTTACGTCTAGAAATTGACAATGAGGGTCGGTTGAATACAAAAGAGATGATTTCAGCTTCCCAATTGTGAACTTTCCATTTCTATGTAGCAACATTCCAGCAGCGCCTGCATACGGAGTATATATTTCCCAAGTGATACGATATTCCCGGGCTTGTATTTCCTATCATGATTTCCTTGTTAGAGGGTTGCTGCTCACAAGGAAGCTATTAAACCAATAGTTTCAAATGGTGAAGTTGAAATCATCCCTTTGTAAATTTTACGGACGCCATCACGAGTTGGTTGACCGTATTGGAATATCCGTTTCACAGATGATAGCCGATATGTTCCTAATGTCGTAACTACAATCCCGTCCCCTTTGCACGAATGTGACCTACCGAATTAGACTTGTTACCGGGTTTGTACTAACATGAGCAACACGACGGGTGACACATGTGGAGCAGGATCTGCTTACCCTTCCGGAGCACTTGAGATCACCACCAGTTTTTGGTGGGGGTTCGTGTTGCTAAGTCTTTATTTTTCTATGTTGTGTTTTGTGTACTATTGTTTGTCTGTTTGTCTTTTTCTTTTTTAGCCATGGCGTTGTCATTTTATTTTCGATTTATAAGTTTGAATGTCACTCTGGTATATTTCGCCCCTCTTTTACAGTTTGTTTAATGTTGTACTGTTTCACCACTGTCCCAGGTTAGGGAAGGGTTCGCGCCTTCAAACGAGTTTAACCACGTCACATTCTGTATGTGCCTGTCCTAAGTCAGGCGCCTGTCATTCAGTGGCTGTCGATTGTTGCTGTGTAACATATTTGTTTTTCGGTCATTATTTTGTTCACAAATTAGGCCGTTAGTTTTTTCGTTTGAATTGTTTTACATTTGTCATTTCGGGGCCTTTTATAGCTGACTCTGCGGTATGGGCTTTGCTCATTATGGAAGATCGTACGGTGACCTATAGTTGTTTATTTTGGTGTCATTTGGTCTCTTGTGGAGAGTTGTCTCATTGGCAATCAAACCATATCTTCTTATTTTTATATAGATTGCCTTCTTATGCCTCCAAAAATGAATGGCGCTCTGCGATTTGAATTTGTATAATTTTAAAATGTAATAGATGAAGCAGGTTAAGGATTTACAACAGAAACTGCGAGGATGTGCATTAAAATTGAATAGCATTGGGCATTTTGAATCTGTGAATTTCTAAGAGGACGCAGGTTTTTTAAATTTTCGAATTATACAAGCGTGCTTCGGGGTTAGCATCTTAGAAGGACGAAAATCCGATGGGCTATAAAACACGTGAATGTATCTAGTAAGTGCTGCAAAACATATAGAAGGACATGCATTCAGATAACTGAGGTAACGTCGTATATAATAATGTGTTAAATTTTATCGTATATAAAAATGTGAGTGCATGTTCTTTTTGGTATGTTTTCAATAAATATATACAAATATGCAAGTATAAATGATAGAACTACAAGAGCACTTACCTCTTTTTGCTTTAGCAATTTTTTAATTAAACAAACCTTCAATTTCAGTATCAAGTGCATCCAAATTTATATTGGTGTCTTCTACAAAGATAGTAGTGAAAAAAGCATTATTATGACAAAAGACAGTTTGTTTACGTTGCATGATGTCGGAGTTTTCCTGTGGTGTTTAGTTTTAAGAGCCCATTTCAATTTTGTTAATTTGTATATCATCAATAAATGGTAACGACTCTACAATGCCTTTGTAACTCACATGGGTCTTTGTGAATCTTCAATAATGCCCACTCTCAAACAGTGTAGAGGGGATATATTTGATGACCTAAATAAATATGGGTGTTGATTGTTGATGTTTTAAGTATATCTCGTTTGGCTGAAACAAATTGAGCTAAAAGTTTCCTTTTATAAACAATACTATAGTTTTCGACATAATCTGGGAAATTACAAAAAATTGTAAAAAAATGTAATTGAAGTTTAATAACTTCTATAACAAGTTATTACAAACAATGGTCATGTATTAATCATCGATTGTGTCTGTGTACAGTTTGTACCTATTTTACTTTACAAATTACAACACAATTGATCATAGGGACATAGGGCAACCACAGTGGCTTTCC